TGTTTTGTGGTAATAAGGATGGGAGCTTTAGTTGGGCTTGTAGTAGGAGTGATGCTTAGGGTGGGCAGACCTGAGGAATCTGCAAAAGACACAAGCGTTAGATAAATGAATGAATGGGCATAGAATGGAAAGGTGGATGTAGGTATGGATGGATGAATGAGGAGGTGAAGAGAAATGGAGCTGAGGAGAATGAACATGGCCATTCAAAAAGCAACATTTTCTTTAACTAAAATAAAAAGAAATAGTGTAAAGTGAGACTGAATCAGAGAGAAAGAAATGAACAGACACAGACACAGAAAGAGGCAGGCTGGAAAGAGACATGAAGAAGACTTCTCGGGCTGTCTGAGTTACAGAAATTTTCTCGTCTGCTGTTGTTCACCTCTTCATCTGCCCCGTTCTCCCCCTCACACCGTTCTCTCTGCCTCCATAAGTCACGTTCTCTAAAACTTGTCTTCACTGGTGTATTACATCTGAGCTTCCTCTTGGACTTGGCACAGACTCCCCTAGTTCTAGGAAGGGAGGCCTGTTTCTCTTTCCTCTGCCATCCTTGATCATCCACTGTCACTCGCTAGGGATGTAGAGCCCAGCACGGTACCAGCTCTTCCTCGGTGAGCTCAGAGATTCATAGGGGGGACTTGAAAGTACACTGGTCGCCACTGAAGTGAGCCTAGACACTTGTTCCTCCTAGGCAAGTGTCACTTCAGGTCTCCTGAGACACTGGGTCTGATTTGAAATAAGGACTTCAGGTGGTTCATGCCCACAGCAAGTCTGAGATACAGTTTAGAAGGCCATGGTGGCCACCAATGGCATCTTGGGAGAAGGAGAGTAGATTACAAGAGCTTCCTAAGGACATGACTTCTACGTAGAGATTTGGGAAATGGAACCCATTTATATTCCACGCCTACTGCTCATCTTTCACTGGACTCTGCTACCCAAGGGGAATTCATGTATAGGATGCCTACTTGCCATTGGCCTGCAATGGACCTCAGATGAAGATTCTGAGAGAAAGTCAGGCTACTAGAAACCCTGGGCTCCAGTGCATCCTCACCTGACCTAGCTCTCTCTACCCTCTTAGAGCTTGAGCTCTGGAAGCCTGAAAGGATGGCTGAACTCTGTAAGAAATGGTTCCCCTAAAACTTAGATGAGTTGTGTCTTGG